CATAATACCCCCTTTTACATACAAACTTAAGCAACTCAGCCATGGATTATAAACTTAGAAGTATCATATGTTAAGTAGATCTTCTACATGGATGTATAAATAACTAGGATGCTTGTACGGTTAATGGGGTGTAGAGAATACCAACCTGTGTTGTGATTGAGTGGATTTTGATGGTGATGGCTCGTTGCTGTTTCTGACTCCCTGCCCTTTTTGGATCCTTAGTGCTTCTGTCTTTTTGGTGCTTAGTGCTCTTTAATGCTCTTTGTCTCCCTTTTTGTCTGTTTTTTGTTGTTGGTCCTCCCCCCCTGTTTGGGGGTAAAACAGCTCCTTATATATGGCTGCCTTTTACTGTTCATACCTGTGTGTTGGCTGCTCCTCCTTTGCTCTTGAAGTGGTAGCCTTAGCCACTTATGTTGTTGGCAATTTGGGATTGGTTCTTGGAGGAGGTGGCCGAAATCTTCTTTTTTAGATTTGGCAGAGACTCTGCTGTTCTGCTGCTCTGCTACTCTGCTGCTCTTTTAGATAAGAATGATGGGTTTGGTTGACGGGGTTGACCAGAGTTGGCCCGGGCTGACCATACTTGATTGGGTTGACCCAGGTTGACCAGGTTGACCAGGGTTGACCAGAGTCAATTGGGCCTGAATATGGGCCTGGGTTGTGGGTTTTTATTTTAGGTTGCTCTTCTAACATTTTCTTTTTTTTGTTTGCAGGTCCCTAGTCCGTTTCCGGCCCAAAATGATGATCAATGGGGGTCCAAACAGCCTTAATTGGCTAAGCCCCCAATTCTGATTGGTGCCCAAAAGCAGAATTTTTATTTTTTTTTATTTTTTTTAATTGTATAATTACAAGGTGTATCTTAAATGTCACGGATTGTAATATGTAATTACACATTTGTTTATTTATGTCCTTGCCTTTAGAATTAGATGATCATTGTATGTATTACTCAATCATTCAATTGATTATTTCAAACCAATTCGTTAACTACAATCGTGACCAATATCCCAACTTCTAAGTAAATTATTCTTAGTTATGAATCGTGACCAATACCCCATTCAACCAATTTCTAGACCTATATCACCAATCGTTAACAATAATACCGGTATAAGTCGTGACGGCATACTATTGCTATTCTAAATAAAGCGAATTTGGTAGCCATTAGCCACTGCTAATCCTACCTAGTACAAATATTCGAAATGAATAGAAAGAAAGACTTGGAAAACGTTGGTATTTATTGATTCGCCACCGCTAATCTCAACCAACCTTATCTAAACTTTCACTTGGGTTTTCTTTTCTAATTTTACATGGAATATTCTTCCGAATTTTGAGTAGGATAGTTGCTCCGGACAAAATGTGGTGTCTACACACCTGTTTGACCGACCCATGCCAAACTCTAATTATTCTTTACTTTTAAACTTTCTATTTGAAAATAAAAAATAATGAAAGAAAAGAGATGACTGCAATTCGCCATTTTCACATCACTGATTCAGGAATAAAACTATAGAATTTCGAAAGGAAACTGAAAATGTTTAAGATCGTTTTAATGTTAAAAATAACCAAATAGATCTTTCTGTTTAGTTTTTTACTAACAAATACCAAACAATTCCCTATAATATACACTATAATTTAATCATTATGATATCAAATAATTACATAATATATATTTGAAATAATAAAAATTGGACTAATTGGGTTGGTCGAGGTTGAACCATTGAATAACTTTAAAATACATTATATTTTAGCCACAAAAATATAATAATAGCAAAATATATATTATGCTAGAGAAAATAGTTTGTTTTAGAATGACAAACCCATGATGTTCATTTGTTTTACTTGATGGGCAAATCTCGTGTAGGTCAGGCCCATTCAACTCTTTTATTTTATGATTAGCGGTTAGCCCATTAGAATCCATCCATTAGTTTATTGTTAAATTTTTTTTCTTTTTAGCAATAAAAAGGAGTATATTTTTTTTGCCTTTTCATATATATTTTACCACCACGGAGAAATAAAAGGACTTAAAGAAAAAATTGACACTCCTGGACCCGTTTAAATCTGCATGTGTACGGTAAGTTGGCCCGTTCCACAGAGAAAAAAGAAAAAAAACTGACACTCCCTATTCTACCCTTCCTACAAACGCTCATGGAGCAGGGAATTTGAAATGGGGGACGGGTTTTTTCCTCTCTGCGATTATATGTTTTTAATTTAAAAAGATACAACAAATGTACTTAGTATGATTGGTTATGATCTTTGTTTTTCTTAAAAGTGGTCATGGTTCGAATCCTAGTAAGTGTTTTTTTTTAATGAATAAAAAATAATAATTGTGAAGACCAAAATATCCTTCCTACTTTCACTCTGGATGCAGGAAATTTGAGATGAGGCTTCAAGTTTTCTCATTTGCCTTTTATTTATTGTGTAGACTAGATTGTGGCCGCGGCCGGTTGGCGGATAGTTCTAATTTTTTGTTAATTGTATATATTCATCTCTTTATGACAATATAATAAAATTTAAAAATTATAAGGATATCAAACTTATACAATTTGACAACTTAGTGAAAATATAAAGCTACAAAACTAAGTGTGAAATTATAATTTCAAGACAAAAGGTTAATTCCATGTGGCTAAATTTTATGAGAAAATAAATGAAACAATGTTGGATAAAGTCCAAGCTATGTTTGTTAGATTCCATAATCAAAATTAGGGTATGCCTACTATGACATGCATGTCACCGTGACATGGACTTTTCGGTCGACCTAATCCTGAAGGCGGTCGACCGAATTGACTAATTTGGGCAGCACGAGAAAGCATTGCGGTCGACCTCAAAGACCACCTGGTCGACCGTTCTTAGCTTAAATCGTTATTTTTGGTTGACCAGAATAAACCTCGGTCGACCATTTTGTTGGCGTCAGAAACAACATGGTCGACCGTAAAGGTATATAGGTCGACCACTTGATGGCAGTCATTAACAACATGGTCGACCAGATAAAGAAAGAGGTCGACCAGATAGACGATAAGTGTTCTATCAATTTAGCCAATCATTTGACGTAAAATGAAGATCAAGTGTTGGTGTCGAGGTCGACCTAATCCGGTACGAGGTCGACCGAATACAAGAAAGTCAACCTATGCCCCATGTCTTTTTTGCTTATGTATGTCGATTTGTGTGGTTCTTTTGCTCGTATAAATTACGCTTTAAACCATCATAACTAGTCATAAATAATGATAACAAGGACTCATCAATTATGCTATGAATTGAGGTCGACTGCAATGCTTTCTCGTGCTGCCCAAATTAGTCAATTCGGTCGACCGCCTTTAGGATTAGGTCGACCGCAATGCTTTCTTGTGCTGCCCAAATTAGTCAATTCGGTCGACCGCCTTTAGAATTAGGTCGACCGAAAAATCCATGTCACGGTGACATGCATGTCACCGTAGCAAAATCCTAAAATTTAATATTGTGCTAATGCTCTTTATGGTTAGCAACCTAATCTTCGGCTTCCATATAAAAATTGATATCTTTTTATATGAAATAAAAAATTGATTGTGTAGACAAAAATACCCTTCCTACTTTCACTCTCGTTGCAGGAAATTTGACAACTTAGTGAAAATATAAAGCTACAAAACTAAGTGTGAAATTATAATTTCAAGACAAAAGGTTAATTCCATGTGGCTAAATTTTATGAGAAAATAAATGAAACAATGTTAGATAAACTCCAAGCTATGTTTGTTAGATTCCATAATAAAAATTAATATTGTGCTAATGCTCTTTATAGTTAGCAACCTAACCTTCGGCTTCCATATCTGATAGCAAAAAATTCGAATGTATGTTCCCTTAATCAATAATTCATTTTTATGTTTTCCACATACGTAATCTTATTTTTTTAATTTTTTTAATAAATATCGTATATTATCATCTATAGAGAAACACAATATTTATTATTCTCTTGAAAATATATTTTTTATTGAAACCCATATCTTATTAATCTAACCATAGTTTCTTAAGAAAAAAGGATTGGATTCAATTATGCATATGATAAAACTGATGGTATTAGAGAACATTATGGTAATTTATAATTCTACGTGAAATCGGAATTTTTTGTTTGCGTCAATCTTTCATTGGTGTAGTTGCAAAGTAAATAAAAAGAGGAACTGAAAAAATAAAAAATAAAATAATCCTTTTACTGTCAGATGGCCTCCACCAAAAAATGAACAGTGATTTGAATTAAAAAAAGGTGTGGCGGATGTAAATAAGTAGTGGGGTTGTAAAAAACAAAATAATTAAAAAAATTTTGACATGTTCAATAAAATAATAATGGTGCCAGCAATTTTAGGAGAACGGAACAGATATGAAATTAACAAACTCATCCCTCCGCAATATGCGGTTTGAGCGCTAGAGGCTGACGTGGCGAATTTTTTTTTATACATTGCCTTATATTTATTTGTAGATTATAACTTATAAGTAGTCTAGACTAGATTGATAGAGAAAAAGAACTGTCAACGAGGAGACGAGAGGTTTAGATGGGCGATTGTGCGTAAGGGGAGTGGGGGGTCGAGTAGGGATGGCAATTACCCACCCATGGGTAATTACACCCAAACCCAAGTAGACTCATTGATAATGGGTTGAGTATGGGTGAAGTGCATATGAGTTTGGGGGGTTTGTAGATGGGTTTGGGTAAGGTATGAATATTGCTTCCATAATCTAAATGGGTATGGGTTGGATATGGATATCCATTTAGTTGAGGGTGTTTTAACTAGGGGTGGCAGAACGGTTTCCGGTTAGTAGTTAACCGATCGGTTATGACCGAACCGACCGGTTTTCGGCTAACCGAAAACCGTCCCCATCTTGCGACGGTCGGTCGTCGAAGGAAAGGGGAAGGGGGTCGGCTACCCGAGAAACCGACGGGCGTCGGTTTCTCGGGTAGCCGACCCCCTTCCCCTTTCCTCCAAAAACGACCCCAAATCCCAACCTAACCTAACCTTCTGCCCATCTCTCCCTCTCGTCTCCCCCAACCGTCACCTGCAGCCAGCCCCCAGCCAACCACCACCCCTCCCCGACGTCCCATCTCCCCTCCCCGACGACCCTGCCTTCCTCCCTCCGTCGGGCGCGAGCCAGCCGACATCAGCGATAGGGAGCGACGGCGGCAGATCCAAAATCAGATGGGGAAGAAGAGGAATCGACGGCGAAGTCCCCAGCCAACCACCACCCCTCCCCGACGACCCCGCCTTCCTCCCTCCGTCGGTCGCGAGCCAGCCGACAGCAGCGACAGGGAGCGACGGCGCCAGATCTAGAATCAGATGGGGGAAGAAGAGGAATCGATTCGATGGTGAAGCTTGAGCGCCGGTGCGGCGGCGACAGAGAAGATTCGATTCGATGAGAGAAGAAGAGAAATCGGCGAATAAGTTTTGGTGCGGGAAGATGCGACGGCGGCGGAGCTTCATTGAGGATGAGAGGTTGGAGGAGATAGGTGTGGGCATTGGTGCGGTCCAAACCGCTCCGCCCGCTCCAAATCGCTTATGCGGTTAATCCAAACCGCACCATTAAGATTGCGGTTTTATTTGCGGTCTAATTCTAAGCGGTTCGCGGTTTTGTGGTACGGATCGACCGAAACTGCGCGGTTGCGGTTCAAAACCGCAAACCACTAAATCCCTACCCAGATGCAAGAAGCTACAGATGGCCGCATGGGCGGCTGGATTAACCATGGCTAAGGCTAAGTCAACTCACGAACTAAAACAAGCTGCATTCTGAAACTTTAACAGTTGACCTTACAATTAAGCTTTTAAATCTCCCACTCCTCCTGATCCAAATTCCAAAGCTTCCCGTACACCCGACCAAAAAAAATAAAATAAAATGGCGGAATGGCAGAGCTCCGCCGCCGTGTCTTTGCTCCTTCTCCTCCTCTCAGCCTTCATTCCGCCGGCGGCCTCGGAAGCAGCCGGCGGCCTCCTCAGATGGGCTTCCACGCTCCACAACCTCCACCAATCCAACATCTCCACCTGGCCGCGTGCCGCGGACAACGGCAGCCCCTGCAATTTTCGTCGGCGTCTCTCTGGCGCCATCCCCGATGAGATCGGAAACCTCGAATCCCTCCAATACCTCAGTCTCCATACCAACAACTTATCCGGTTCAATCCCGGCGTCACTCACCCGGTTGAACTCCCTCATTCTCCTCCATCTCTACTCCAACCGCCTCTCCGGCCCGATCCCGCCGGGGATCGGCAACCTAGACTCCCTCGCCGATTTAGAGCTCAGCGACAATCGACTCACCGGTACCGTCCCGGCTTCAATTGGGAACTTGCAGAATCTGGAGATCCTGTTTCTCCGGGTGAACAATCTATCCGGTTCGATTCCTGATTCTATAACGAATCTCACCAAGCTTACAGTTCTTCAGCTCGACTCCAACAACTTCACCGGCGTTCTCGCGGAGACCCTCTGCGGTGGAATCCATTTAACTTGTTGTTGCGGTTTTATTTGCGGTTGCGGTTCAAACCGCACCAAGTCGCTAACTAATGCGGATCGGTTGGACCGTACCAATTAACTTGCGGTCTTGTTTGCGGTGCGGTCCAATTACTTTGCGGCGCGATGCGGTTTTTATAAACACGGTGCGGTGCGGATCGCACCAATGCCCACCCCTAGGAGGAGATGAGGAGAGATGAAGAATTGAAGATGAGGAGAGAGGAAGCGTCGGGTGATTCAAATCCCTCTCGTCCTTTTAGTTATTTATTTATTTATCATGTAATTAAATAATTAATTAATTATTAAAATAAAAAAATCCGGTTACAACGGCTAACCGAGCCAAAACCAAAAACCGGGCGGTCGGTGGTCGGCTAACCGTTGCTTGCTTCACGGTCGGTGGTCGGCAGGCAGGTAGGACGGCTCGATTTAACCGATAACCGAGAAATCAGTTTTCGGTTAAACCGAAACCGACCGACTGACACCCCTAGTTTTAACTACACATGCAAAAATCGGACCTATTTGTAAAACTTGAAAAATTTAGGTACCAAAATGTAAGACCAAAAAAATTTAGGTACCAAAATGTAATTTTCCATATATATTTTGAGAACTTATATGCAAAAAAAAATAAATTTAGGTACTAAATATGCATATCTATTAAGTTTAGGTACCAAACTGTAATTTGTATTTGGACATGGGTACAAACCCAAATCCATTTGTTATAAACCCAACCCAAAGTAAATGGGTATGGGTACAAACCTATCAAACTCTACCCATATCCATCTATTTGGATTTCATACCCAACCAAATTGGGTTGGATAGTTAAAAACCCATGGGTATGGACAAAATTGACATCCTAGGGTCGAGAATGGGGTAGACATGAAGCTTGGGAGAAGATGAGAGGTGAAAAGGTACCTTAGATACCAAAGTCGCAAGACACCTTAGAGGTGCATCTGCGGTTCATGTTCGTGGAAAAAGATGGATGCAATCAAGGATCGTCTCTCCTTATGGAACACTTGATTATGCAAACAAGATCAAGATATCAACACTAATCAAATGACACAAGGAAGGACCTAAGGGGGATGTCTTAATGGGAGACCCATTCTTCTTATTCATTGGTTTTCAAGATGATGTGGCTAAATCTCTCTATGTACAAGGTACGCAAGTAAAGGGATAATCGAAACTCTTGGCTGGGACACTATGATGGTATCCAAATTAAAATCCCATCTCTAATACAATATACACACACCATCAACCCGTTTGAAGATCTGGACGCCAGACCTGATCTCAGAGCTTCAGACAGCTTTCACAGGAGGCCGGCTTATCCAAGACAATGTCATTATTGTCCATGAGGCCCTTCATCACTTCAAAAACCACAAGCAGGGAAGGAGAAGGGACATGATGCTTAAGCTGGACATGAAGAAGGCATATGATATGGTGGACTGGGACTATCTCAAAAATCTGCTGAAAAAGTATGGTTTTGATGACAGATGGTGTGGATGGGTAAGCTCTTGCATCAGGACGGTCAATTTCTCCATCCTATTCAATGGTGAAGCAGCAGAGGAGTTCAAACCGTCGAGGGGAATTAGACAGGGAGACCCTCTATCTCCTTTCCTTTTCATTTTGATGTCAAATGCTCTTACCTTTTTGATTGATAAAGCGGTTTCCCAAAATCAGTTAAAAGGAATAAGGCTGAACGCGAGATGCCCGATTCTCACTCATTGCCTGTTTGCGGATGATACAGTGATCTTCGGAAAGGCTGATATACAAGAAGCAGAGAAAATTCTGGAGATAATAAGAGAGTATGGAGCCATCACGGGACAAGAAGTGAATATCAACAAATCATCTGTTTTCTTCAGTGCGAATGTACCCGATGTGGACAAAGGGGCGATCATTGGGCAAATCGGGTTCAACACTTCTAACTGCCACTCCAAATACTTAGGAGTACCGACAGAATGGGGGAATTCAAAAAAGGAAACTTTCCAATTCCTGATCCAGAGAATGGAGAAGATGGGTGAAGCGTGGAAAAGCCTCCTCCTTTCACATGGTGGGAAAGAAGTTTTGCTTAAAGCTGTCATCCAAGCCATTCCTTCCTATATCATGTACCTGTTTAACCTCCCGGTGAATCTTACCAAGAAGATGGATTCCCTCCTCACCAACTTTTTTTGGTCAGGGTCAATGCAGAAAAGCACAATGCACTGGTGTAAGAAGGAAATTCTCTGTGCTCCAAAAGCGGGGGGGATTGGGGTTCAGAAGCTTTAAAGATTTTAACATGGCTTTGCTAGCAAAACAAGCATGGAGAATCCTAAATTCCCCGGATGCCTTGTGGTGCCGGCTTCTGAAGGGTCTGTATTTCCCGAGAGATGGTTTCATGCAAGCGAAAAAATGGAGGAGATCCTCGTGGATTTGGGCAAGTATGTGGGAGGCAAAAAAGGTTATCAGCATGGGAGCAATTAGAGTCATCGGTTCAGGAGAGGATACTTGGATTGGTCAAGATCCATGGATTCCGAACTTGCAAAATTTTATCATCGGAAGCGGCCCCCAACAGAACCTGAGGGTAAAGGAATGGATTGACCCAGTTTGCAGGAGCTGGAACACGGAGCTGATACAAGGCCATGTGACGAGAGAAGAAGTTGAGGCTATTCTCAAAATCCCAATTGGGGAGAAAGGGTCAGAGGATTTCTGGGCTTGGAGTCTCACCCGTGAGGGAGAGTTCTCAGTCAAGACAGCCTACCACGCTGTTCATAAAGCAAATACAAACATCAAGGTGACAGGAAGTGAAGAGAAGTGGAAATGGATTTGGGGACTAAATGTTCCACCTAAGCTTAAATTCTTTCTATGGAGATGCTCCAGGAACGGGTTGGCAACGAAAGAAAGACTTTTCCAACGAAAATGTGCTCCTAATCCGAATTGCCAAGTGTGCCATAACCCTATCGAGTCCCTTAATCACTGCCTTTTCTACTGCCCTCATGCCAGTGATTCGTGGAATAGTACCTTCCCATCCCTTCCTGTTCCTCCACAGGGCACTTCCTTTTTCGATTGGTTCTGCTCCCTCAAAGATACCATCCCGCATAACTCCCTCATACATATTATCTACCTTTGTTGGAACATTTGGAAGGCAAGGAACGAGTGCACCTTCAAGAATCGGGCACCCTGGCCCCCAAACGTGTGTCTGCAAACCTATAGGGAGCTTTCAGAATGGATCGCATGCTCGAGGCCCCCACCTCAAGGATCTGATTGTCCCACTCAGCTCAGGGGATCCCATCGTACTACGAATCAACCGCCAAGTAATCACTCGATAGTGATTCAATGTGATGGGTCGTTTTTTAGCGACCCCCAGTCGGCGGCATATGGTGTTGTTGTTGTTAACCACCATGGACAAGTGTGTGATGGGAGAGGTGAAAATCTTCTTTGTTCCACCCCGATTGAAGCGGAAGCAAAGGCTCTTCTGGAAGGAATTAAATTAGCACAAGAATATGGATCGGTGTGTACAGTTCAATCTGACTGTCAGTTGCTGGTAAAGGCCCTGAACCAAAATCAGTCTCGATGGCCCTGGAGATGTGCTGCATGGATTGGAACAATGGTCAATATCCTTAGAACTAACCCAGCTATTTCAGTGAAAGAGGTTCCGAGGGCTTCGAACGTCAGAGCTGATTGGGTAGCAAGATCAAAAGCTAAATCAATTCTACCAGAAGACTGGATTAATATTCTTGATCTAATTTCTGTTCTCCTCTGAAATTGTAATGCCTGTTGAGTGCTTCTTTCGTTTGGTGGAATAAAAGTTGATACTATTTGTAAAAAAAAAAAACCCCACTTGTGCTAGATGATCTAGAAAGCATGCAGGCCACCTTTAGCATCCCCACCCAGCTTGGGACGGTCCCCTAATTAATGTGGCCATAGGTCTTTGCAAGGTCAATCTTTAGGGTCATATCTCACTTCATGCCTCTTTGGGTACAATGGTACATCAAGTGCACCGCATCTTAGAGAAC